ATGAACATCAAGCCTGTCAAATGAACAGATGTAGTGTTGCAGCTCAAACCAGAAACAAGGTTTATTTTCAGGTTGCAGCTTCTTTCAGTCAAATGCTTGTGGCTTAAAAAATAATCCTTTGACCAGATTGTAACCCATGAATTAAAGCCATGAGACTTTTATTCTGGCTGTAACCTACTGCTATAGATGAGCAAGGCAGAGATGAAGCAGAGATGAGGAAGAGGCTAACAGTGTAATGAGCGTTTTCTTTTACACATTGCTATATGATGATCTTCTTGTCACTATCTGTTGATCCTCTCCATCCCTCTGTGTTTTCCACAGGTAGTGACCACTGTCTTATAAAGAACATTGTTCTTTGTCTTGACATCTTTCTATAAAAATAATCTGATTTTGTTCAGTGACCTTCTTTGTCCAGACCACTTGTCATGGTACTTGTGAAGTCCACTTCACTTAGCTGATAATTATCAGGAAAATAAATTTCTGAGCATTGTTTGAGACAGATCAGATGTTTTCCATATAAAAAGATACTGGCTGACACTGATATCACTATATAGACTTAACAAAAAAAAAAACTAAAAAGAAAAACTGAGAACAAAAAAAAAAGAAACTGATAAAAATGGAAACAAATTGAAAAGAAAAGAAAAAACAGAGCAAAAGATTGATGCCTGCCAATGCAATAATCTAAAGTGCTCAATGTCTAAATCAAATGGCCAAGACAGATTAATTATGCTAACCAGCAACATACAAAATATGATAAAATGGAGGACACTTCCATGATATAATGGTGGACACTGATGATAAAATGGTGGACACTCCCACAATACAATGGCAGCCACTTCCATGATATAATGGCAGACACTCCAATGATAAAATGGTGGACACTCCCATGATATAATGCAGACACAACCATGATGAAATGGCTGTCACTCCTGTGAGCTTTGCATAAAGTTCATCTACAGAAAAGATGACCAATGAAGACTGCTCCAAGCCAGACAGATAAAAACAACACAACTATTACCAAATGCCATTTTGACAAGTATGTATATAAGCTTTTGATCATAAATTCTTTGCTCATTTAAAACAATTGAGTTTCTAAAACAAAGGGATATTACTTTTGTCTGTCAAAAAAGGAGTGATGCTTTCAACCCTTAAAGAAGACTTTTACATGATTTAGGTAATTATAAGTGCAAATATAATTCTTCAATAAATCAATTTTTCCTCTATTTTATTCATGTATTTTTTCTTTTACACCTCTTTTTTATATGCCAATTTGTATGAGAAAAGAAAAATTCCTTTTATGAAAATATTTGTAAAAAATCACATATTTTGGCAGGTTTAAGAATAATTTGGGATCTGTACAGTTGCAGTGTAAACTGCAACATGGGTGATGAAAATATATAAATGTGCCAGAGCAACAGGGAATAGTTAGCCACGCTCACAGGCGGGAATACATGGAAACAAATAGCTGGCAAATATATATATATATATATAGATAGAGAGAGAGAGAGAGAGACAGAGAGCGATATATAATTTTGTATAATTTTATATATCAACAAAGAGTATTTAGAAAAATATGACAAACTGGAAAGTTTTTTTTGTGACATGTTAACGGATGAAACATATCACAAAAAATAAACTTTCTAGTTTGTCATATTGTTTTATATATATATATATATATATATATATATATGTGTGTGATTTAAATTTAGATAAGAATTGCATAGAATAGTGAACATATGAGAATTTGGAAAATATATCTAAATCAAAATTGTCATATACTTACTTACCATATATATATATATATATATATATATATATATATATTGATGCAACTCCATGTAATTAAATGTTTACTTTAATATCTTCCTCTTAAAGAAATTCGCGTACAGCTTGGTATTCCTAATATTATAACCCAAACTTAATGATATAAATGGATGGGAGATATATATATATATATATATATATATATATATATATATATATATATATATATAAAAAAAGTGAACATTGAAGTCAACACTTAGAGGCAACAGGCTGTTTCATGCTGGAAAAACTTAATAATGCCAAAAGTAATACCTAAACCGCAATACAGTAAAATCCACAATGACTTTGTAAATGAAAATATTCAGTCATTATTTACATTATTGGACTGTTATCCTCATCTTCATTGCCATATTCATAACGTTTTGGCCATTGTACACTCTGGCCTTCTTCAGGTGATTAAAATTTCAAACCAAACCCTTTATTTCGTTCACTGGGGTAGCTTGTTCTAATTCCACATACCATGCCTCTTCCAGATGTCTTTCCCTTTAACTCAACTCTCTGAATATGGCAATGATGATGAGGATAACAGTCCAAATAAGCATAACGCCTCACCTACCTCAAAAATATAGAAGCCGAAACGTTGCGAATATGGCAATGAAGATGAGGATAACAATCCAAATAATGTAAATAATCATAATGCCTTATCTCAGAAATACAGACAGATATGATTCAGTCATAGTTAAGAAAAAAATATGAAGTTTTGAAATATTGGGAATTAAAAGTAAAACATCTTAAAGCAAGCACAAAAACAATGAAAAAAATTATCATAAAAGAAGAAAAGCAACAGAAATTCTGAATCTAATGACAAGAAAATAAAATAAGCTGTATACAGTTGTTGGTGTATACATTGATATCTATCAACACGTACACCAGCCTGCAACACAAGCGTCTCCTGAAATGCCTACAATCAACATGGATATGAGTCCACCTAAAAAACATGTAAAGAAACAACAGGGACCAATATATATGTACAAACAAATGACAATGTATTAACAATAAAGAGATACATTAAAAAAAAGTGAGAAGAAGAGGGCAAGAAAAGATATTGTTGAGTATTTATAGCCCGGAAGCGTCCCCTAGTAGTGGTTTCAAAAATTAAGTGGAGGTAACCTGATACAATGCTAAACAAATTCATTATCAATAAGTGTGAGCAGGCTGAAGAGAAATGTGTCTAAATGTGCAGAGATAAACAAAAATAACAATTTGATCAACAACATCCACAGTGGACATGCATGAAAAGATCAAAAAGCTAGTAGGACAGAAAACATACGAATTGCTCGCATGTTTCAAATCAAAAAGAATGAATGAAAAGGTGCAAAGAATAGAGAGAAGAACTTTCACAGCAAGAGAAAAGAAAAATGGCCTGGAAGGTCAGGTAATTCTAAAATCTGGAGAACAATAATGAAGACAAACAAATTCAACAGAATGTGATGAGATTGTCAATGAGATACTGTCAGTCTTAGATAATTTGGGGGATGATAAGTTTACTGTAGTGATAAATGAAATCTGCAAGTGTGGCAAAATACCAGATGATCTAAATTAGATCAATTTTCAAAGAACTGCCAAAGAAACTAGATACAAATGAATGTGAGCTTAATCAAACAATCAAACTTGATGAGCAACATTAAACTAATAATTTGGATTCTAACAGAGCTTAGAAGAGAATCAACATGGAATTAGGGACAGAACTGTGGTGGAGTTAAAGAGTAGCCCCACAGTGATTCTATATATGTGATATATATAGCGTTCGGACATAGTTTAAAGACAGTAAAATCAACCTTGCTAACTGAACCCTCCTCTGTGGCCAAATCAATTAAAGGCACGTCAGGCTATATGACGGTTCTGTATAGGATACAAGTTTGATTCCTGTCAGAGGATGAATATTTTCTATGAAAATTTCTCAGACATTCAGGCCAGTAAATGTTGTTTAATATTGTTTATTATAAAACAGAGCATTTACTTAAATATTTGTATCTATAAAAAGAATGTATAAACATAAAAATGTCTTAAAATAATTGTCGGATTTTGTCCATTTCATAATGTGTGACGTCATTTGTTTACATTTGGATACGCCATGAGCAGATATGGATGTATGTGAAAGATTCATGGAAGATTGTAGTTTAAAGACAGTAAAATCAACCTTGCTAATTGAACGCTCCTCTCTGGCCAAATCGGTTAAAGGCATGTCCAGCTATATGACGGTTCCGTATAGGATACAGGTTTGATTCCTGTCAGAGGATGAATAATTTCTATGAAAATTTCTCAGACATTCAGGCCTGTAAATGTTGTTTAATATTGTTTATTATAAACAGAGCATTTACTTAAATATTTGTATCTATAAATCTATAAAAAGAATGTATAAACATAAAAATGTCTTAAATATATATATGAAAATATATATATATATATATATATATATAAATTTTGTGTATTTAGGCAGAAATCCTTCTTTCATGCACATTTCATTGAATGTGACAAACAAGGTGCTTTGATTTAGTTTTTTTATACAAGATATTGTGTTCATGTTCATTGTTGATATTACCGAGTGTTGGTTTTTTTTGTTTTTATTAATAAGGCTTCCATTATTTTTAGTCTTTTTTTACATGTAGATGATGCTATTATATTTGTGTTGTCAACAAGTATATGAACTTGTACAATATTATAAAGAGTTCCATAGTACGAGGTCGGGTGTAGTTGTATTGGAGTTAATCTTCATACTAACTATACAGGTATTACAGCAATAGCCTAACCATGATATATAAAGAATACTTTAATGAATTATGGTATACCAAATAGGAGTATGTGTGTGTTATAACAATAACCTTACAATAGGAAGTTATAATAATAATAATATAGATAGGTACATAGTGTTGTAGAGTAGTTTTCACAGTGGAGGCTTGTATTTCTATAAGTCGTCCTAAATTAGGTTCGACGTACAAAATGTTAGGAACTTGGAAAAAAGAGTTGACGCAGCAATCTAGTTGTGATGGTTGGTACTTCAATGTCCGATATCGTCTGACGCACTAAACACCACTGAGCCAAACTGGTGACTGCTACTACTTCTTATTATCTATGGGAGAGTCCATTACAATAGAATAGGTAATATGGCATGACACATAGATAGATAGAAACAGATACAAAGACATGGGGATATAAATATAGATAGAAAGATATACAGATAGATATGAGCAGACTTAGATAGATAGATGGACTGAGATAAGCAGACTAAGATAGATAAATAAACATACATAGATAGATATACTGAGATAGATAGAAGAAAGTAAGAGCCTAAGATAGATAGATAGATAGATAGATAGATAGATAGATAGATATGAACTGTTCTATACTGTAAAGAGTTCCATGGTATGAAATCATGAGTAGTCATACCGGAGTCAGTCTTCATACTAATTATGCAGGCATTACGGCAATAGCCTAACCATGACATATAGAGAATACTTTAATGAATTACGGTACAATAATAATATAGATAGATAGATAGAAACAGATAGAAAGACAGGGATATAAATATAGATAGAAAGATATACAGATAGATATGAGCAGCCTGAGATAGATAGAAGTTACAGCCTAAGATAGATAGATAGATATGAACTTGTCCAATAATATAAAGAGTTCCATGGTATGAAATCATGAGTAGTCGTACTGGAGTCAGTCTTCAAACTAACTATACAGGCATTATGGCAAAAGCCTAAGCATTATGTATAGAGAATACTTTAACAAATTACGGTACACCAAGTACTAGTGTGTGTTAAAATAAGAACATGGTTTTATACAAAATGAAGGAACAAGAAATATAATCTTTTTTTCTATTGTTCACCCAATACAAGGCCCAAGAGCCACTCAAGGTAGAGGGTTACTGAATAAGATTGCTGTAAAGGCATAAAATGAGGGGAAAGTGGTGCATATCATGAGGATATGTAGGATAGATATAGTTTGGCACTAGACTTGAAGAAGTAAATATTGTAGTAGTCAGGGAAGCATCCTCTCAAGAGTCTGTCCCAAAATGTAACAGTTCTGGTGAAAAAGCTGAGTGGAACTTCCTCCTTACCAATGGTATATGAATAGGATGAGGATGATTTGATGCATTGTATGCAACATGGCTACATTATGGCAGTGGGAAAGTGACTGAAGCCATGAGATGCTATGTCAGGACTAATAAAATTGCTGATTCTTCATTGGATTTTATCAAGAATCTCTAAATATATAGCAGATGCAATAGGTTAGATGTGGCAACACTATTCAAAGCTTGGACAAATGGTAGACATAAATATGTAAGATAGATTCTGAGTGTCAAAGGACAGGAAATTGTGGAGAGCCATGATCACCCACATCCTGAAGGAATACGACATATAGTTGAAAAAATCTGGTATTGATATCAATGGATAGGGCCAAAGATGACATTCTCTTTGTTCATTCTATCAGATACAACGATGAACAGTCTGATTTCTTTGCAAGCAATAGTGAAAACAATGAGGATTTTGTAAGTTTCAAACCAAATAACAATTAGTTTTTTTTTTATTTCCAGTATTTTCATATTTTAATGTTTTCAGTTTATTTTTTTAGAACAATATAGACTAATTTTTAGAGTATAAGACTGAATTTTTGTTCTTTAAAAATCTTTCAAATATGACAGGCATTTTTTTGCCAAGACTTTGTCTTGAAAATGTGTGCCTTTTACACATTGGTGCATCTATATTCTGAAAAATACAGAGCACTAAAATAGAAAGGGGAAGGTCACAAAGAGGAGGGCCACAAAGATGTGCCATGAGATTTTTGCATGCCAGGAGCAAATTTCCAACTTTCAGTCCCAACTTAATTGACTGAAGAACCCAAGCTCTTTTATCTTTCAGCTTTTGGAAGCAGTGGGGGATTTACTGGAGCATATGATCATGGGTGATGAGATCTGGGGGTATCGTGCTACTCCAGAGACATACATTGATCCAGGAATCTAGAAATATTCATTATCACTGAACCCCACAACAATACAGTATCCAGTAAAGAAATTTATGGCAACTGTGTTTTGGGATGTAAAAGTTTTGTTGCTCATTGACTTCATACTGCATGCTCAAATAGTTATTACATTTAGATACTCTTAAAATATTGAATGGACAATATGGAAGGAAGCTTTTGATTGAAAGTAACCAAAACATAAGGGTGTCATCCAGTGCTGGATTTATATATGGACTAGATTTGAGCCCCTGATAAAACCAAATGAAAATAAAGATGTAATATAAAAATTTTAGTTTCTACTTTAAAAATGTTAGCCTTGAATAAATGTTTAGTCATTCAGGTTGTTTGTTTTTTGTTTTTTTAATACACACTCTTTTGAGAGAAGTATATTTTTTAATGAAGACCAGATGGTTTGTGTATAACGAAGAAATTGTTTTAAAATGGTGTTTATATTTTAAAACAGTGTTTGTGTCTGCATTTGGATATAAGCTCACAAACACCATTTTAAAAACATAAACACTGTTTTAAAACAATTTCTTCCTTATAAAAATTAATTCTTGGAATCTTAACATCAGATATGGCAGTTACATGGATTAATACTTGTAATCACTTTTGTATCATTATATGAACTGATGTTGCGGTCTAGGTTTATATGTATGTATGTATAGCTGGCCACTCGTATTCAAGGATACCTGTCTACTAGAGCAGCTAGACAATCCTTATTGCAGATGCTTGCTCAGATGCATTTGTTTTTATTCAACACCCACAGAGCCAACCTATGGTTTATATTGCAATTATGCTGAGCAGACCTTAGTTACAGTTTCTGAGAAAGAGTGTGTTATCTAGCATGATCATCAATTTGAACAAGGCCAGCACACTCAAGCCCTCAGCCACGATGACTTGTGACTTTGTGCTAGCACAGCTATCAATGACCCCCATGGGTTCCGTCTACCCAATTTCACTCACAAGGCTTATGTCAAACCGTGGTATCGTTTTCAGGCACTTTCCAAAGGTGCCACATGCTGGGATTGACCCCTCCAGTCTGATATCATCAGGAAGTCTCCTTCCTGACAAATCAACCATGGTGAGATTCGAACCCAGGTCTCATGGTTAGAATGTGAATTTTCTAACCACTTGGCCATGTGCCCATAAGATTTATATATAATTATGCTTTTTGTATTTTTGTACCTATACTGGTATATATGTATATGGGTATATGTATGTATGGTGTTTGGTGGTTATTGGTGTGTGTGCATGGGCTTGTATATGTACATGTATAGCCATATAAAAATATATATGGAGATATGTGTGTATTTGTATATGCATGGATTGTATTGAGTATATTTATTTTTGTGTGTAGATATGTTTGCATGTGTATGTAAACGTTTATATATATATATATATATATATATATATGGGTATGACATATGAGTGTTGCATATGTTTAAAGATATGCATAAGTTCGGATATATGTGTGTAAATTTATATATATATATACATATATATATATATATATATATACACACATGTATGTGTTTGTGTGTATATATGTATGTTTTGTATATATGTGGCGTGGGCCTTTGTGTGAAATTGTATGTATATATATATATATATATATACGTGTTTTAATGGACTCAGAAATTTTCAATCTGCTTGTCTGAATCATCTTCAAGAAGCGAGAGCAAAATCTAAAAGGTCAGACAATCTAACTGTGATGTCATCTCACAATCCTCACACTTGCTCCATATGTGGCCTCTTTTGTAAATCACTAGTGGGTCTTAAATGCCACTTAAGATTATCGCACAAACTTTCATAACTGAATCAATAAGCTGTCAGATCCTCATACGTCGAAACTAATGGGAGAGTCCATTATTATATACACTGCATGCTAAATTATTATCGAGATAACTTTTTTCTAATATTTCAAAAACCGTCAAATCAATTCACACAAAATTTTCCCACAATGTTGGCAACACCAACCTGCGCAATCACTGAAATTTTCCTACTGATCTGCACAATGTAAACAAACTGTAAAAAAAATTCCCAGATTTGAGCAAACAAAACGTTTATTAATGTTGCACGTGGATGTTTATGATCAAAAGAAGCTAATAAATAAGATAATCAAACAAATAATAACAGATACAAACAAAGGCACAGTTTTAAACAAATTAATAGGGAATGTGCTTGAAAAAGTCAACGATCCATAGAATTTGTTAATTGTAGGATGTCATCTGCTGTAATGCCACAAGATATGTCAAGAATTGCTTCCCACAACTCAGCGCTGGTCCTGAATTGTCGTCCGTTGGCATACAGTCTTCACTTCATGATGCTCCAAAGGTTTTCGATTGGATTCTAATCCGGAGAATTTGCTGGCCACTTCATTTTTCGAGGTCCATCGAAGCCTAACTGTTTCAAATATTCAGTAGTCTTGTGAGCAGCATGTGAGGGAGCATTATCTTGCATAAAAACAATGGCCCTTCTGAAGGCAACTCTTTGCCTTTTCATCCATGGCTCAAGATGCTCCTTCATAAATGCTATGTGCAGACAGTCATTTTGACGCCATCTGGTACTCTCCATGGGCCCACTAATGTTTTTCCATTAATACCAGTCCAGATCATTATGCCTCCACCGCCTTGTTGGTGTCTCAAACTCTGATGGCGATTCTGTCCATTCATTACCCAGCCTTTGCACCATCTATCTGGCCCATCAAATGTTGCTCGAGTTTCATCTGTGAACAAAACTTTAGAGAAGTCAATCTTCATATTGTCCTCAGCCCATTTCCAGCGATTTTGAATGTGATTTCTCATCAACAGAGGCTTTGATACAGGTTTGACTGTTGTTGCTATTTCCCTCAGATACCGACACCGAGTACTTTAAGACACAGTAGGATCCCCAATGTGACTGAAAAGCTCTTGATTGGTAAGTCCATGGTTATTCGTGGCCTCTCGTTTAAGTCGTGACATGAGACGACGTGAAATAACCCTCGTCTTGCCTGTATCTGCCCTATTGTGTACTTGTGTAGGGTCGGAAGTAAACTTTTTCACTCTTTGATGACACCTCCCGATCATTTTAGAAATTTCTAGGGTAGATTTACCTTTTGAGAATTCTGAGGTGATAATTTTCTTTTCAGCATCACTTAAACTGCTTTTAAGGCCCATCTTTTCACTAACTTCTTAGTCTTTTCTAATAATATGGCACGCTCAAATCACCGTGCTGATAACAAATATGGTGCCAGTTTGTTTACATTGTGCAGATCAGTTCAAAAATCTCAGTGATTGCGCAGATATATATATATATATATATATATATATATATGTGTATGTGTTGAAAAGATGTATATAGATGTCTTTATGTATGGGAGATATATATATATATGTACTGAGGTAGTATGTGTATACATATGTGTGTACATATATGAATGTGTGTATTTATATATATATATATATATATATATATATATATATATGTGTGTGTGTATATATGGGAGTAGTGGTTGGTTTTGAACTCTTTAAAAACTTTATATTTTACTTGCAACACGATCACTTGACAAAACACCAGAAGTGTTGAAACAAAGTGGCTATTTTTGTAGTGATG